TTGCCATTATGTTTTACAAGATTGATAAATCTGAACATACTCTTTTAAAAATAGTTTGTATAGCTCAGATGGAAAAACTGTGAATAACAGTCTCTTAGGGCTAAGTATGGAAATATCAGAAAATTACTGAATGCTACGTTTTAATAGAATAAACAGTTTCTGTAAAGAAATTTTAAAACATTTGTAACAGAGATCTTATATGTAAGTGTAATTTTAAATTAAGTTATGAAGGATGTTCATTTTATTGTTATATAAATATATTTTCAAACTTAATGTCATCAATTGTAAAGGCCACAAGGGGAATCTTTTTTTATTAAGCTCATAATACTCAAATTACTATGTAAATTAGAAAACCTATTCTTCTTCAATTCAAGTTTTACTACACTGAGGAAGAAGGGAGACAAGGTAGTGTGTGGAAGGAATTGAGGCTAAAAGGCAGAGAGAAAAATTCAAGGTACGGGAGAGCTAAGACAGGAGGGAAAGAAGGAGAAAGGGATGTAAGAAGGAAGGAAATAAACTAATATTTATTGTCTGCCATGAAGTCATTAGGACTTTATTTTTAATGGAAATCATGGTAAGTAGGCTTTTCACATTTAGAAATATCAAGAAACAATTTTATAAGCAAATTAAATTCTAGGAAAATGAAATGTACTAAGAGACATTAAAATTCATTAGTAATAAACTGAAGTATCAACTGTACCGATAAACACTCACTACTAAAGTTAATTTTGAGCTTTCGTAAATTAGGTAAACTTCCTTGTAATTAGTGTGAAATTATTATGAATAACTAGTATGTGATCAATATATGTGTATGTAATTGTATTAATATTGCATTATTATGTATTGCCATTTTTATAAATGATATAATTTTCTATTAGATTTAACTTGATAAATGACCAGAATTTATTTAGTGTTTAAGAGTTTTAAATCTTGGAAAAATGTATGAAAAAAGAGAACATTATATTGATGAAATTTGAATAATCCCATTAAATTCACAGGAAATATTTAATGTTTGTGTAAGTTCAAATTTTACAATATTTACTGTATGTTACATTTTTCATTGGAAAATATATTTGGTGAAGATATTAAATTAGTGCATTTTCCTCTGGCTGACCATTATATAAATTGAAATTATTCATTTTAAATAAGAGAATGTTTTGGAATTTTCTTTTTTTTTGAATACTGCAATTCCTCTAATAGCCCACGTTTTGTACAATTCCAGGCTAACAATTTGTTTCCAGAAAAGCTGTTATCAATTGAAATTGTAATGGAGATATAAAAATGAATTAGCCACTGACCCTTAGATGAGGAACATATATGTAAACATCAACATTTATAAATATGATTTCCTTGATAAGACCCTTTAATAACTCCAGACCTTCATCAGAACAGATTCCGGAGACACCTTCAGATGGTAACACTTTTTTGTTTTTCTATTTTCTTTTTTTTTGAATACTGCAATTCCTCTAATAGCCCACGTTTTGTACAATTCCAGGCTAAGAATTTGTTTCCAGAAAAGCTGTTATCAATTGAAATTGTAATGGAGATATAAAAATGAATTAGCCACTGACCCTTAGATGAGAAACATATATGTAAACATCAACATTTATAAATATGATTTCCTTGATAAGACCCTTTAATACTAATATGTCATAGAAAATTTATTTATTCCTGCAGAATCCAAACACTAAGCATGTAACGTGATTTTAAATGAAATGTAAGAAAAATATATAGAAATTTAAATATTTCCAAATATTTGTAAATATCACAGTTTAATATTTCATTGGCCTATTTGACCTAGTAAAAGGTCAAGATCATTTGACATATGGTGTTTCACACTGTAACAGATTACATTACTTCCAAAGGGCAAAACATTAAGAGCCAAAGTTTAGCATAAAATGTTGTTACATATTCAGTGAAAAATATAAAACAGATTTACCTGTCTAGTGTATTTTATTTCAAAAATATTTTTTCCTTTTCCCCTTTTTGCCTCCCTTCCTTCCTTCCTTCTTTACTTCCATTTTCTCTTTTCAATAATTTAGTTCTACTAAATTGGGCAAGGTAGGTGTCTCTGTGGGGGTGGACTGGAGCACGACAGCAGCCTGGCTTTGGGTGTCAAAACCTAAGTGGAGTGAATGGAGTGGAGGGGTACTTCAGGGGTCCAGTGAGGGGTGTTAGGAACCAGGCGGGGTAAAATGGGTGTCCATGTGCCAAGAACAAAACACCAGCCCAAAGAGGAATATTGGAGTCTGATCAGGGTACAGAAGGGTACACATAAGCTGGGTTGTTGTGGGAGAGAGTTTAGAGTGACGGAAGATTGATTTTTCCAATGACATTGATAAAATTGTTACATATGGGGAGTATTATAAAAGTTGTCTCACTTTTGGAGAAGAAAGTTACAGTTAGGGAAAGGTCAAAAACTAAAATGATCCTGTACTAATGATTTGGTATTTGGTGGGATCTGTATGAACTCTGTTTTTAATGTATGTAGGTGGATAGAGAAAGGAGAAAAGATGTAAAGGGATGTATATGTTTATGTGTATGTGTTTGTATATGTCCGACTGTGAGCAGCCATTTCTATAAGGAGCTTTTTTGGAATGCCATTTCGAAAACGATTTCTGAGCTAGCTCTATCAATTGAGAAGACATGGGATTTACAACACTCCAATAGCAATGAGAGCACCTAGAAGCCAGATCTTGGTTTCCAATATCATTCTTGACTGAATGTTACTAGGGCTCCTGGCAGAAATGGCTGATTCCAGAACTGGGATAGAGAAAGTATAAGAAAAGCTTGCAAGAACTTGTGGCGTCAGAAATTAATGAAGTTAAAAAAAATAAAAAGTTGAGGACATGTCAAAAAAATCCATAGCCAATTTTAACGAACAATAAAGCATACATTAATTCAGCCAAGGACCAACAATGGTTGCTAAAGCAGGTACATGAAAGTTAGATGAGGAAATAATAAATAGAAATAGGCTTAACATACTTATCCTCAGATTACTAATTAATTATAAAAGGATTATATTAGGTTATTAAGTATAAATGTCCAATTTCCTTAAGTACTCTTTGACTGTTGATGTCTCTGACATTTCACTTTGACGCTTCTTGTTTTATTTTTATTGTGAAGGTACATCCTCATTCTTTCAAATACATGGTTTGGCTTCTGATTCTATTTCAAATTTTTTTTAGAGCAATTTTTGGGAAACCATGGATAAGTCAAAAATCCATGTTGTTTTTGAGTATGAGTTCTGTCGTGGAACCAATGCAGCACAGACAGCTCGAAATATCAATGAAATATTTGGGAAGGATATGGCTAACAAATTCACAGTACGTGGATGGTTTGAGAAGTTCGTTTTGGTGATTTTAATCTTGAAAATGAGCCATGTGGGCAACCTGAAAACAAGGTGGACAATGAACTGAAAGCTATAGTAGAAGTGAGTCCATCTTAACCTAAATGTGAATTAGCAGCAAGGTTTGATGTTACTGTTTCAGCAATATTGGACCATTTCAAACCAATGGGCAAGGTAAAGAACCTGGATAGATAGGTTCCACATGAATTAAATGAGCGTCAGAAGAGAAATCGTCTCAAAGCTTGCCTTTCTTTGCTGTCACGACATAAGGTGAACCGTTTCTACACCATATTGTTACCTGTGATAAAAAAATAGATTCTTTTGACAATCACAAGTGTCTGGCACAATAGTTGGCTAAAGACGAAATACTGAAACACAGTCCAAAACTGAATATTTATCCAGAAAAAGCTAACGGTATCTGTTTGGTTGTCCAGCGCTGGTATTATCCACTACAGTTTCATGAAACCTCATCAATTGATTACAGTGGATGTGTACCTCAACCAGTTGGACAAAATGATGAAGATACTTGTGATTAAGCAGCTGAGATTGGTCAATCGAGACAGGTCAATCCTCTTGCAAGACAACGCTAGACCACATGTTACATAAACAAGGCTGCTCAAACTGCAACAACTGGACTTGGAAACTCTCTGTCATCCACCGTATTCACCAGACCTCGCACCAACTGACTACCACTTCTTCCAGGCTTTCAAATACTTCTTGCAAGGAAAAATATTCAATTCTCGACAAACTGTGGAAAACACCTTTCGCAATTTCATCACCACTTGCTCTCCAGGATTTTTCATTGCTGGCATAAAGAAGCCACCGTTAAGATGGCAAAACTGTGTCGATACTTAAGGCACATACATGGATTAATTGTACTGCTTTTTGTTTGAGGTACAATAAACTATACTTTTGATTCAAAATTGGACATTTCATATTTAATGATCTAGTAGCAAGTTTACAGTTGATAACCCTAATATTAATAGATATTACATTAATCAGGTAATCCAAGTTACAGCACTAGTAATAAGAAAATTAAAATTCAATACTATCAAGGTCAATGAGAAGAACATGGAATGACTACTATTATACTTCTGCTAAAATGAATAATCAGAATCTAGTATGAGAAAACATACAGCAAATCCAAACTGAGGAGCCATCTACAAAATAACTTCAAAATGTCAAAGCCATGAAAACCAAGGGATGGTTAAGGAAATTCCCCAGACTAAGGGATAGTAGAGACATGACAAATATATTCTATCCATAGTTCTGAGCTG